CGTTGAATGCGTCAGTGCCATGTTGAAAGTCCGGACGGCTAAACGTGACAATTGTCACTTTTAAATGAGATTTCAGATAGCATGCCCCTCCTCAGTCGGATAATTTTGCGGCAAAAGTTTATTGAATGAAATGCCAGGGCTCATTGCGAATGAAAATATCCTTTGGCCTGTAACCTTCATAATGCCGCGATAATAATTCCCTCTTTCGAGCTGTGTTAGTTTATGGCTCTCGCGGGAAGAATGATATAGAAAAGTTGTTATAAGTTAAAAATTCATTCTTCCTTATTTGAAAGATGTCTCCAGTGCGGCTCGCCAGTAAAATTTTGTGTTGCAGTCATAGAAGCTAGCATTTCTTAAACGGCTACGCTTGACCTACCTACAAAATGGGGATTATTTTGGTGGTCAAGCCAATGTGGATTACACCGTACAGGTCTGAGTGTCCTGTTTTCTCCTAGGGTAAAGTACGCGGCCTTTTTGTACGAACAGGTGTAAGAAAGGAATCTAATTTTTCGCGTTAGTGTAAGACAGCCGAAGTTGAAGTCGTTTGTGCTTGAACAAACCTGTCATATGACAGCAACGGCGATGCTTTATATGACTGACTGTAGTCCTTTCCCTGTCTACGCTTTCCGCTTCATGATATCACAATCGTTAGCACGAAGTTTGGCGTCGAGTAATACACCAAGCTTGCCAGGAGTATTGACCAATCACGAAATTGACACGGCAGATGGCAACCGTACGCTCTGTTAAGCTTTGGCGCAGCGAAAGGTCTGATCGTCGGTGAAGCCCTGCTGCGATATAAAAGAATTTCGCAAACCACCTGAGCATCCAATAGACACTTGAACACTCAACTGGACCAGTCACACCCTCGACAGTCGCAAATTGCGCATCTCATTACCCAAGACTCATGTTAATTGTAATACCTGTATTGAATCCAGTCACCCAATGCTTACAGCCGAAATGCGACCAAAAACTGGCTCACTTACATGGATGTCGTCTGGTTGAAATACACCATCTTCTCGATGCTCGTAGGGTAAAATAAAACAAAGTGGAGCAAGTAGCGTAGTTGGTCAACAACAAAGAAGTAGAGAACTATTGTAATGTCCCCATTACCACCCAGTTCAGAAGTGGCAACATCGAAGAAGTTTGCAGAGATTTCGGAGAATGTATCAATTCGACGTTAGAAAGTGGTGTCCGCGTCAAGAGGAGAGGTGCCAACTGTGCTGGGTTATGGAGAATTCTCTATCATTTAAAAAACAGGCTAAAAAATACTCGCTGCACCCTCGAATGGCACCTATTACTGTTTCGTTCGTGTTTTCAATCAGAATATGGCAGAAAACCTTTGCTGAGGGGTTAAATTAGAAAAATCAATGAAGCGATCAGAAAGGACACCAGAGAACAGTGTTTTTTCGTGTGCGGCAGTTCCCAGCTAAGTAAAGGACTTGGACGGTACTAGTTCAAGAAGTCTATGATCACGTCTGTGGTCTACCATTGGCTAAATCAGAAGGAACGCCATAAAAGAGGTACCATTAGTTTCATGTACTATTAAAGCTTAAGTTACGTACTGAACAGCTTTAGTGATGAGTCGCATTTCTGACTTCAGTTTTTTGTCAAGGCTGGACGTTATCACAGATTCATCGATGAAACTAAAAATTTAAAATGTATTGATGTACCTTAGGGCATCGAATGCCACTCTGACTGCTGCTGAAATGAAAGAATTTTGAATTTTGTTCTATTAATTGTGAAATTTGCCAACGATGTTCCCTGATGATTTGTTTTCATTTTTGCGGTGATGCCTAAAGTTGGCTTTAGCTTTGAACATCGTAACATTTTGTTCTCGGGTTCAAATAGGCGATTTAATGAGGTTTAATAACTGGAAAGAATGACACAAAGTGCGATTAGAGATTGTTAAATCAAAGCATAATTCTGGCATAGAAGATGTAGGTCCTACTCTCTATTGCTTCATCTATATATGTAAAAGACTTGCTATTTTGCATCGTATGCATTTACTTAACATGTATCATTTCTATGCAATGAAGTGGTGTGTTTATGCCAATTCTGATTTGCTATATATTGTTCTCATATTTTCTTCCGAGGGTCGATGTCGACATGAAACGTTTCATATCTTCTGAAATTTCATGTCCTTTCATCAGGGCTTTTAGTAGGAACAGCACTATTTTCAGACACCGCCATGTATAGTATGAAATTTGGCGTTTTCATGTGCACATATGCTGCTACCGTTTACCATAGGATAATATTTGCACTGAATTAGTTTTATTGGACAGCAAGCATTTCCTTTCTTTCTTTGCTGTTTCGTTTCACTTCATTGTCAGAGAAATCTTTTAGGGGTTCTACTTTACGGGCCACCCGGCTGTGGCAAAACTTTATTAGCGAAAGTGATCGCGTCAGTATCAGGTAATGAGGTTACATCTGTTAAAAGTGTTTACGTCTGATGATTTGTCTTTCACGTATTCAGGGGCCTGTTTCATCAACCTGGACATATCTAGTTTGACCGACAAATGGTACGGTGAAACACAGAAGTTGACAGCGGCAGTATTTTCGTTGGTAGGTCTAATTTCTGTTCAGCTAGTTGATCTTATCGACAGCTGTTTGTCATATACCCGTTTTGGCTTTGATTAATTTGTCTGTTGGACGTAGGCAGCGAAGGTGCAGCCGGTGATCATTTTCGTCGATGAGATCGGTAACGTGTTTTTTGTTCTTTTGTTGCTTGTTTTCTGTTTAATTTGTTTGTCTATAGATTCAGTCCTGCGGACACGAGATTCATTCGATCACGAGGCGACTGCGATGATGAAAGCACAGTTCATGACTATGTGGGACGGCCTCTTGTCGGATGACGCTTGCCGCATAGTGGTGGTCGGCGCAACGAATCGACCAAATGACGTCGACAAGGCGATCCTCAGGCGAATGCCATGTCATTTCCACGTCGGCTACCCGGTACGATGTGAACGAATGTATTGCGCCGTGACCGCTCACGTTATTCTTACGTTGTAGAATGCAGAACAACGGTTGGCCGTGTTGAAGGTGATTTTAAGGAAAGAAAAGGTATTTGGTTATCACCGTTTAGTGATAATTTGTTACACTCTGTCTTTAGCGAGGTGATGATGTCAACCTGGCGGAGATAGCGGCTAAAGCAGGGGGTGGCGGCAGTGACGACGACAGTGACAACCTGCTTGAGAAAGTCTCTTGCTCTGACTTAAAGGAGATTTGCAGGCTGGCCGCCTTCCAGCGTGCACGAAGGTATTACATTCGACTATCTTTAGCGCACATTAAGAAGAGATTATTCTTTAATAATTTAAATGTCTGCCACGTTTTTGTTTTTGTTGCCTCTTTGTAAGATTATGGGGAACAGGGTGTGAGCTGATCTCCGTTTCGATGTCACCCACCGAAGGTTTTCTATGAATGCAGTTACTCCAGCGCATCGTACTCTTTCTCACATAATGTTATTTATTCTCCTAAGAAATGTTAAAGGGAAGTAGTTGACTAGAATTCGAACCTGAGATCTATCGAGAGAACTGTTTTAACCTGATATGCTTAAAACATGTCGCGTCAATATTTTTACAGATAGAGTTTTTGTCATCTATTACGTTTTTATTGCAACTTTTCGGAATGAGGTTTCTCATAAGACGTCAAGGAAATCAGCAACGCTTAAAATAAATTACATTACATGAGAATCACTTCGGATCTTGTGTGGCATCGCCCGGTGTTTAAAAATAATTTCAACAGATAATATGTATAAAGTTTATAATCTCAGTGTTTGTGAACAGTAGTTTTAGCCAACAATAAATACATTATTTTGGAAACCAA